GCCTGTACAGTCCAGGATATCTGGGTCTAGGTGAGTGACTACACCATCATAGTTATCTGAGTGACTAAGAGCTTTTTTGTACAGTTCTTCTGTGTATTCTTGACACCTCTTAATATCTCCTGCTTCTGTTAGGTCCGTACCATTTCTGTCCTTTACTGAGCCTATCTTTGCATGAAATGTTCCTGTGGTATCTCCAAGTTTCTTAAAAAGACCTCTAGTCTCTCCCATTCTATTTTTTTCTTCTCTCATTGAATTGTTTCCTGGAAAAGGCTTTCTTACCTCTACTAAAACTTGCTATTCTCCGGAACTCTGCATTCAGTTAAATATATCTTTCCCTTTCTCCTTTGCCTTTCACTTCTCTTCTTTCCTCGGCTATTCGTAAAGCCTTCTCAGACAACCACTTTGCCTTCTTGCATTTCTTTTTCTTAGAGATGATTTTGGTCACCACCTCCTGTATAATGTTATGAACCTCCATCCATAATTCTCCAGACTCTGTGTCTAACAGATCTAGTCCCTTGAATCTATTTGTTACCTCCACTGTATAATCATAAGGGATTTGATTTAGGTCATACCTGAGTGGCTTAGTGGTTTTCCCTATTTTCTTCAATTTCAGCCTGAATTTTGCAACTGGGAGCTGATGATCTGAGCCACAGTCAGCTCCAGGTCTTATTTTTGCTAACTGTATAGAGCTTCTCCATCCTCAACTGCAAAGAATATAACCAACCTGATTTCAGTACTGACTAAGGTGATGTCAGTACACCACCAGATGATGATGTCCATGTGTAGGGTTGGAGTGATTGCCAGTATGTACAGGGTTTCTTCTTGAAGTGATGAAAATTATCTAAGATTAAACTTCAGTGTTGATTGAGTAAATTTTTAGATATACTAGAAACCATTAAATTTTATACATCAAATGAGTAAATGTATGATATGTGACTTTTTTATCAATAAGCTGTTAAAAAGAGTGAACTGAGGTTTACAATTGTGAGGATATACATGTGAATGCATCACCTACATTAATATCAGAAAGGGGAAGGAAGGAGAAAAAGAAGAACAAACTTAGCCCAAGATAGCAAAAGGAAAGTGAAAGTGAAAGTTACTCAGTTATGTCTGACTCTTTTTGACCCCATGGACTTTGTCCATGGAATTCTCCAGGCCAGAACACTGGAATGGTATCTGTTCCCTTCTCCAGGGGATCTTCCCAACCCAGGAATTGAACCAGGGTCTCCTGCATTGCAGGCAGATCCTTTACCAACTGAGCTATCAGGAAAGCCTAGCAGAAGGAAGGAAATAATTAATTAGAAGAAAACTAAATGAAGCACAGAATAGGAAAACAATAGTAATAAAAAAAGACAAAGCTAGATTTTGGATTTTTTGAAAAAAGAAAATGAATAAATCCTTATGAGGCTAATTAAGAAAAAATAATAACAGCCAAGACTCATAATCAGAAATAAAAAAGGGAAAAGTTACAAGTGATGCAAAAAAACAATTTTAAAGGGTCAAACTCTTATGAATAATTATATGGACAAACTAGAACTGGACAAACTAGAAAAAAAGATAAATTCCTACAATCTACCAAGACTGAATAAATAGAAAGCCTGAATAGACCAATGACAAATAAAGAAGACTATATAAGCAATCAAAAACCTTCCAATAAAGAAAGTCCCAGGACCAGATGACTTCACATGTAAATTCTACCAAATACTTAAAGAATTAATACCAATCTACCTTATAGTCTTCCAAGAAAAAGAAGACACAACACTTCCAAACTTATTTTATTAGGCCAGTATCAAATAAAGCCCAAGAAGACACTACAAGAAAAGAAAACTACAGGCCAATATCCTTCATGATCATGCATACAAAAAGTCTCAACAAATATTAGCACACTGAATTCAACAGTGCATCAGAAGGATCATACATCATGATTAAGTGGGATTTATCCCTGGAATGCAAAGATGGTTCAGTATTGATATACCACCTTGACAGAATGAAGATAAAAATCACACAAGCATCTCAATAAATGCAGAAAAAGCATTTGATGAAATTCAACACCATTTCATGACAAAAATTCTCAACAAATTAGGTATACAATAAACTTACCTCAACACAGTGAAGACCATAGATGTATGAAAAGCCCACAACTAATATCATACTCAATGGTAAAGAGGTGAAGATTTTTCCTCTAAGATCAAGAACAAGGCAAGGATGCCCACATCCACCACATCTATTTACCATAGTACTGAGTGTACTAGTCAGAGCAGTAATGCAAGAAAAAGAAATTAAAAATATCTAAACTGGAAAGGAAAAAGTAAAACTCTCTGTTTGTAGACAATATGATATTGCATAAGGAAAACACTAAAGACTACATAAAATAATGCTAAAACTAATAAATGCAGTAAAGTTGCAGAGTACAAAATCAACATACAGAAATCAGTGCATGTTATACAATAACAATGAACTATCTACAAAGGAAATTAAGAAACTAATCCTAAAATTGCATCAAAAATCATAAAATGCTTAGGAATAAACTAAGCCAAGGAGGTGAAAGACTTGAATGCTGGAAACTATAAAATATTGATGAAAGAAATTAAAGACATTAGTTAATAAATGAAAAGACATTCCTAGCTCATGGATTGGAATACTTCATCTTGTTAAAATATTTATTCAACCCCAAAAGATCTATATATTCAATGCAATCCATACCAAAACCCTAATGGCATTTTTCTATATAAATAACAAAAACAATCCTAGTACTCAAATAACCAAAAGCACAGACGACAAAAGCAAAAGTAGACAACTGGGATTTTATCAAACTGAAACGCTTCTGCACAACAAAGGAAATCACCAACAAGATGAAAAGAAAAGGCATACTATGTAATGGAAGAAAATATTTGTAAATCATATATCCGATAAAGAGTTAATATAGAAAATATATAAGGAACTCCTACAACTCAATAGAAACAAAAATCAATGACCCATTTAAAAAATAGGCAAAGGAACTGAGTAATCACGTCTTCAAGAAGACACACAAATGACCAACAAGTAAATGAAAAGGTACTCAGCATCACTAAACATCAAGAAAATGGAAATCAAAACTACAATAAGATATCACCTCTTACCAGTTGGGGTTATTTTATATATATATATATATACACAAAAGTATTGGCAAGAATTTGGAAAAACTGGAACCCTTGTATACTATTATAGGGATGTAAATTGGTACATCCACTATAGAAAACAGTAAGGAGGTTCCTCAAAAAATTAAGAATAAAACTATGTTATCCAACAATATCACTTCTGCATATTTAACAAAAAGAATGAAAACTTTGAGGAGATATCCAAACTACTGTGTTAATTGCAGCATTACTCACAATAGCCAAGACATGGAAGAAACTTAATGTCCATTGATAGATGAATGACTTTAAAGATGTGAGATAGATAGGTATACACACACACACAGAGGAATATTTTTCAACCTCAAAAAAGAAAGAAATGTTTCCATTTTCAACAACATGGATGAACCTGGAGGACATACACTAGTGAAATAAGCCATATCCAAAATGATAACCATTACATGGTCCCACTCTCATGAAGAACCTAAAATGGTCAAATTCATAGAAGCAGAGAATAGAATGATTTTTGTCAGGAGCTGGGGAAAGGAAAACAGGGAAGTATTGGTCAAAGGATACAAAGATTCAATTATGCAAAGTGAATAAGTCCTAGAAATCTACTGTACAATATAGCTTAGTTCCTATAGATAACAATACTGCTTTGTGAACTTTAAAATTTGCTATGAGGGTAGATCTTACATTGTGCTCATATTACAAAAAACAATAAACAATGATAACGGGGGAGGAAGGAACTTTTTGGAGGGGACAGATATGTTTACACCATCAACTGTGGTGATGGTACACGGTATATACTTATGTGCAAACTCTCCAAGTTGTATATACATAAGAATCTATGTTCTCTAAAAACATCAAAAGACTAGATTATAAAACCCATGAGAGTTTTGTTCTCTTCTATATGTCCAGCACCTATGAAGTATAAATAAATACTTGTTTAATCAACAAACAGGAAATAAAACACAAAACTAGTCAAATAAAATTAATAACACATGATTGAAATCTTGAAAACAGGGCCCCGTACTGTATATTCAGGAAGCACTATCTGTAATCTTTAAGGAATCACTTGACACTTGGAGAACTTCCATAACCTTTAAGTAACAAAATGGACAATGTTTCCAAAGGAAAAGAAAACAGCTATAGATCAAGGAAATTTGAACTGAATTTTTGAGCAAGTGTGGCCATCCAAGTTGTGACCATTAGGAAACATGATGACATTTTTAATCCAGTGCTTGACCAAGTGGTCTTGCTGGCTGATGGATTTACACAAATTCTCTCCTAGGGATCAAAACAAATAAACGAACAAACAAGCAAACACACTTACAGCAGGATAATGAAGTGGACTGTTGGCTTATTCCAGATATACTGACTTGAATACATATATGTCCCTGATGTAAAATCTTCTATATGTAAGGATAATATGGTGCTCACCCACCATGATAGGAGCATGTGCCTTTGAGTTTTTTCAGGATTGATGAGTGATTGGCACTTCCCCATTCTTCTTACTCTAATTCTCCAATATTCATATCACACAAGTTGTCAGGGTTAAGATTAAAATTGTTAGGGTTGAGGATTCATTCCCCTACTCTCTGAAAAAAAAGTCAAATCCCTTGGGAGACACATCTAAGAACCTGTGGCTCAGATCCACTAAACAAACCTATACGAATGGCTCATTGAAGAAGATTCTAATGTCCTGGGATTTTATTTCCAACACATAAGAATTCATAATATATTCAAAATAAATTGATTATAATCTTTAAATTACAACTTTTAGTTCATTCATTTTATATCAATGTCATATGTAAACAAATGTCTAGTATCTGTACATTTTCCTTATAACTCACTAGTTACAGAAATCTTTTCTTTGGTAAATACCTTGTAACCAGGGCTACCCATTAATCCATCCTTTCCATGTCTTCCTGGTTCTCCCTGAAAAATAAGTAAAAGTATTTTAATATATTTTGGCACTAATGTTTCTTTTTTAAATGAAGATAGTACAGGATAAATTTTATTTAATGCAAACACTTAAGAAAATTTTCCATCAAACTCACAGCACGTCCAGGAAGGCCAGGAAAACCAGCATTCCCCTTTTCACCTTTTGCGCCCTGTTTTTAAAAACAAACAAAAACAATCCTTACAAGAAGGTTTTTAAATTCCAGCTCAAACTTAAATAGGAAAGAAAGATAATTTCCTCATGGACTGATAGAATTCATGCAACCACAGCTAGTGTTGGCCCTGCAGCTTTCGGCAAAGCACTATTTTACCAGGACTCAACGTGACATTGAGAATAAGATGGATACAGAATTACTAAAAGCATCTAAACACAGAAACCACATCTAGGCAGAATTAAACAGAAATGTGTATCTTAAATATAGAGAGAACATAATTTCCCTTCGATGAGAAAAAATAAGATTCTCAATGGACACACTGCTAAACAGCTACTACTTCTAAGTAATCTCTCTCTATAAATATTTTGAAAGTTCAGAAGGGTCAATAACACAAAGTATTCTTATAGAAAATCAAGTATAACAGTCAATAGTCATTTTTCCATTATTTCGTTGTTCTGAATAAACCCCACAGAAAAAGGTGAAAAAAGCTAATTGCCAGGAACAGTGGACTGGGACTGAAATTCCAATTTTCTATTGCCATTATATTGAAAGTTCAATATGATACTCTGTTTGGGGATCTAAACTTTCCTTTTTGCCATAAAATCCAGGTGATCCTTTATCTCCTTTGGGACCCATTTCACCCTAAAAGACAAAATATAAATCCTGAGTTTTAGAGAAGTATTTAGCATTTCTCTTATGGATTAAAGAAAAACACCAATTATACACAATGGAGTTTACTATGCTAACATCAAAATAAAAGAGAAATAAAATTATTTAAATTTTATTTACAAAAATCTTATATCCCAGGCTTTATAAAACAAAAGCAAGGAAAAGTGAGGGCATTTGTTACTCTAACAGGGCTTTATATGATAACAGTTAAGAAAATTTCTGTATAATCAAAGTTACTCAACAATTTTTAAATACTATAAGATTTATGGCTGAAAATTTTAAAGGAAATTTGTAAAAGCTTTATGTAAACTATATATTAATCTTAACCTAGTAATTTAATATATGAGCATTTATTGATAGCACATATATAACATAGAGGACTTTCAATTTGAAGTAAAATGCAACATTGCTTAATTTTATAAAGAACAGATATCTTCAACCTTTGATCCTGGTATTCCATGAAGCCCAGGAAAACCAGGAAGTCCACGGTCACCCTGAAAATAAAACAAATTAATTAAAGAAAACACATTTCAGCCTAAAAATATCAACATATACTCTTCCATCTCATTCTTGACAAAATCTATTGGAAACAAATCTGCGAACAGTTAAATATACATCTATACTAAAACCCTGTCTCTATAAAAGACTAATCCTCTTTTAGCAGAGTTTCATTTATGATCAGAGAAGGAGAATATGAGAGGCCAGGGGAATCTCATCAACAGCCCTTACCCCACCCTTACAGAGCAGTCATCTATTCTAAAAACACCTAGACTCTTATGTGGCAAGACCTAGGAGTTAATGGAAATGGCCAAGGGCTAATACTCTCCTCAAGAGAGCCATCCTCTGAGGTCCCAGCGCAGTGAGGATAGACCTGAGATGAAAGTCTAGGATTCTGTAGAGAATTTTTCTCCTATTGCTGATCTCAGTAAATTGTTTGTAGTAGGTGTCTACTCACATGTGTCTATGAAGAGGGGAGGACCTACATGATCTCCAGAAGAGGAGAGATGGAGAAAATCACAACAGCTTGGTATTTGGAGACATAATTTTAATACTTATTTCTGTGGGACTTAGTGATGCTGTCTTAGCTTCAAAAATCTTAATTGTCAAGACACAGTTTCAAGAGAAGCCCAATGGCTCACTCAGCAAGATTTAGGTTAATTCACATTTATTTAGGCAAATTAAGACACTGCACACAAAAAATTTATGATTTCCTTAGCTGTCTGGTAGAGAGAGAAGAGGATGTGACCAGTTATCTATGATAAATGTAATTCTTAAAAATCTCAATTTTAATGAAGGTTGTTTATTCACACGTTTTAAAGAGTTGACAGTTATTCAAGGCATAGAACCCTTGAAAGGCAATGCTTTCCACCCTAAATTCCTGGTCACCAAATCACATGGCTACCTTACTGCCCCGTTTTTCAGTTCCTAGCACTAAGGTAAAGGTGAGAGAACCACCTGTCTGAATTGAGACAAGAGTTGAAGGCCAGGTAGACAAAGATACACTCTTTATAAGATGGAATTTAGCTGGGTAATGAGTACTTAATAAAAGTACAAAAAGAAGGGTAAACTGAACTCCCTTTAAGGATGAACCTAGTCCCACCTAAGAATTCCATTCTCTGACTACTTATAGAAGACACCATCTTCAAACTGGTGATGTTTTCCTGGAGATAAGATAAACCAACCTTGGATGAAGAGAGAAGACCAGGAAAATTAACCCACACTGGAACCAAGAAAACATAAAATCTGGACAAAACTACCCTCATGTGCATAAGCAAGATTTTTAAGTAAAATTAAAAGGCACAGCCTCCATATTAATATCCAGCAATGAAGAGGGGAGGGGCAGAGAAACAGTAAAATGCTTGGAGACTACAAAGGCAATATCTACAAAACACAAAACACAAGAAAGTGGAACTCAAACCCTATACACTCAGCCAAGTAGTGTCCAAGGTTTAAAAGCAATAGGTGGTAAATAAGTTGTAAAAGTAAGCCAGTGTCTATCTACAATGGTTCTGTAATGTGAAAGACAAATCAACGCTGCTGGGTCAGCCACTGAGCAGTTGAGTCATCAGTTACTGCAGGACAGGTGAGCCTAAGTTGATTAACATAGAAATTTATCTACTAGGAAAAAGAGGCTGCCAAATAATAATATAAAAAAAAAAATAAATGTGGCAGTGGCTCTGAGGCTAGGTAGTGGACAGCGAAAAATAATTGTTGGAGGTTGGAAATACAGTGATTTATGTAATACAGTGAATATTTGATGAAAACTTCACTTGTAATAAACTGCTAAGGCAAAGAATGCATCCAATGAACTTAGCTAAAGAACCAAAAAACAGAATGACAGTATCATGAATCAACTGGTATTGGCTGCATTTGAAAACGGGACTAAAAAGAGATCAGTTCAGAAAAGAATCAGCCAGTTTGCAAGCTGCAATGAAAAGAACAGACCAAGTCTAAAAATACTGGGGTGTGGAGAATACACCTTTTCACCCCCATCTCTAATAGGCAAATAATGAAATTGGAGAAGGCCTTTAAGAAGTTCAGTCAAAAGACAGAGAAGAAACAACTCAAGTGTGTGGCCCTAAAAGCCATTCTCAGTTCAGTCAGTTCAGTTCAGTCGCTCAGTCGTGTCTGACTCTTTGCAACCCCATGGACTACGGCACACCAGGCCTTCCTGTCCATCACCAACTCTCGGAGCCTACTCAAACTCATGTCCATTGAGTCGGTGATGCCATCCAACCATCTCATCCGCTGTTGTCCCCTTCTCCTCCTGCCCTCAATCTTTCCCAGCATCAGGGTCTTCTCCAATTAGTCAGTTCTTCGCATCAGGTGGCCAAAGTATTGGAGTTTCAGCTTCAGCATCAGTCCTTCCAATGAATATTCAGGACTGATTCCCTTTAGGATGGACTAGTTGGATCTCCTTGCGGTCCAAGGGACTCTCAAGAGTCTTCTCCAACACCACTGTT